TACTTTGGCTGCTGTGCGACGTACTCCAGGACCTTCTCCCGGAGTGTTTCCGAGGCGGAGATCACCTCCTGCAGCTCCTCCTCCGGCACCTCCAGGAGAATCTCCGCGGAGACTGCGCCCAACTTCTCGAGGAGCCTGATCAGGTCCGCCCTGCTCCCCTGGAAAAGTCTCCGCCACTCCCTCCGCAGGACCTCGACCAAAAACGGCTTTATATTCACAAAAGCGCGAAGAGCCTTTTTCAGGGTCCGCATAAAAAGGGCCGGAAGTTTCTCCATGCGGCATATCTCCTCTATCGTCACGGAGACGATTCTATCCGTGAAAACCTCCGTCCTCCCAAACGCCAAGTCCAGGACTCTCCTCCCTGCAGACTTTCTCAGCGTGTGTGCGTGTCTGAGCACGTCCTCCGGCTTCAGCAGGCGCAGGAAAAGCGTCATCGAAACGTCGTCTTTCAGGTACTCCTCGATCAATTCGAACTTTTGCGCACCTGAAAGGTACGGGAGCACCGTAAAAACAAAAGATGCTGATGTTTTTTCAGGCCCCATTTTCACGAGGCAGGAAAGCGTCTCCTTCAGCTCCTCTGCGGGAGGTTTCACTCGAAAGAGTCCGATGCAGACTTTACTAAGAAGCTCCGAGTCTATCCCGTGGGCAGCCCGAATAAAGTGCCCTATTTCCCCGTCTGTTCCTGCTGCGAGCTCTGAGGAGAGGGCAGAAACCAAATTCGCGAGTCTCTTCTCCTTCTTCTGCGCGTTCAGGGGCTTTTTCTTCCTATCGCGCAGCTCCATCTTCAGCTCCTGCATCATCTCAAAGGCAAACTCCAGAAGCTCCTTCCTCCTCTCTGCGAGCATAAGCACCTCCTCGCATCCCAATCCCATCTCCTGTATCTTCTCCATAAAGCACTCTACATTATCCTTCACAAACTGCACTGTCTTTGTCCTTGATCCGTTCGGGATGTACTTCACGACCTCCTCGACTATTCTCTCCCTGTATACGGGCCGTGTCTTTATGATCCTGTCGAGCGGCCTAAACATTGCGCTGTTCTTGTAGAGTCTTCGGAGGATCTCCTCAACATCGACCTCTGGGAAGTCTTCGAGTGCGAGGAGGCTGCTCGGGGAGTCGTTCTTAAGGAATTCCTTCTGCACTTCGCTGTATACGCTCCTATTATGCACGTACAGGGCGAGGAGAAGAAGTTTTGGGATTTCTCCAACGTATTTCAGGAGAGTTGGAACGTGCTCCTGTGTGAGAAGTTTTACTACGGCTGGAAGGGCTGTCTTTATCTCCTGCTCTGGGAGCTTTGCGAGATTGCAGAGTATCTCCTCCACAATTTCCACGGAAGTACTCTTCTGGAGCTGCGTCCTGGGATCGGTCATCTTCTCTTCGAGGTACATCTCGATCGCTCTCTCTATATCTGCAGTGCTAGCACGTATCAGCGTCTCTATCACTAAATTCACGAGGAGAGCAGATTTATCCTCCTCTTTTGCCTCCTCTCGGTGCACGATATACCCTGCACTTTCGACAGTTCCTGCCCACTCCTCCGCGGATATCCTCCGAGTGTGTGCTTTCAGTCGCTCAACAGCTGCCCTGAACTGAGAGTCTGCCTCCTCTGCGGGGGGAAGTTCTACGACCTTCTCCTTCAGAACGAGCAAAAAGACTATGCAGTGATGGTAGTTCTCCGGTGTAGTTCTCTCTATCAATTCTTCGATGTCTTTGATGCAGGCGGAGAGCGAGAATATTCCGCAGCAGAGCCTGTTCATTAGTCCGTCCATTCTCGGAATAAAATTTAAAAGTTTTGCTATTTGTATATGGCAGTGCTTCACATGGGAAAGGAAAAGCTTTCCCTTACTCTCGTGCGATGTTTTTTCAATTTATTCGGAATTGCCCTGTCCTGGGCTGTTATTTCCATGGGGGTGGATATCGTTGCAAACTCTTTCAAAGTCGGTCTTTCACGGGAGTATCTGTACTTTCTTGACGGGTACTCCCTCAGCAGATACCAGAGCACTCTTGTGATGACGCAGGAGATGTACGCATTTGAGCTTCTGCTTTCTCTCCTCCGAATAACCACGCAGTCTTTTATCACTTCTCTTATGCAGATATCTTCGCGTGTTTTTATCTCCAGGTACGTTTGCTCCCTGAAGAA